ACAGTTATCTTCGTGGCTACTGAATCTAAGAGTCGTCAAGTTTTTTTGTAGAATCTATAATTTAAGTGCCTTGGAGATACGTTAAATGTAATGTGTATAAGTATAGCCTACCTTTGCTCTCCTTAATTGTTATGTAAGTAAGACTTTCTTAACTTATTTAGACATGTAACGTCATCTCCAGGTCGTCAAATAAACAATGTATTTAAGTTATGAGGAAATTTTCTAAGTTACTTGATGTTTCATACAAGACAGGCGGCGCTTGGAGATTATCCACGAAGGTAAGTTTACAACTTTAATTAGATTTAGACCGACGTTAATCCTCGTTAGAGAATAACTTAAGTTTCAAATTTAAGGGTTAATATCGCATTTTAATTATACATTTATATAGTTTACTAAACTATTTTTAGAAAGCGAAAATTAATTAAAAACGGCTCAACTCACGCTTTTATCTTCCGGTGACGGCACCGACTAGTTTCGGACCCTTCGGGGATCCTTCTTCTTCTCCGTCACCGGAAGATAAAGGCGTGAGTTGAGCCGTTTTTAATTAATTTTCGCTTAAAGTAATGTCTCACGATAGTTTAAACAATTTATTTTTCGAAACTAAACTAAAACATTCATTAGGCGTATACTCAATTAATTTGATCAACTAGCTCCATCTATATTGCCTTAACAAACTACCTAAACCATTGTCTTATGTAGGTGNNNTTTTCAACAATAGATGTCACTATTACTAATTATTGACATAATTGGTTTAATTTTTATTATTAGCTAACTAAATTGCAATTAATTTAAATTGTTAATGAATTTAATGAGTGTTAGTTATGTTAGTAAATAAATCTTGTCTGGTTGGAATAAAAAACGATGACTGCGAGACATGAATATAACATGAAAGGGTAGAGGGCGTGCCTCAGCCGCCCTCCTCGTCTCAAGTGCCAAATAATTTAGTTCGACGCCAGCAGGAAGTGTAATGAATATTTCAGAGTATACAGGGGGATACAAAACATGTCTGAGTTAATCTGACGCTTATTCCGAGCTAAAGCTCACATAAATGTGAGTTACCAGTATTTCAAAGTTATTTAATAGTGAATTATTTATTTGGACTGAACACAAACAATAATATCAAAGCTTTTTTTTACAATATATGGTAGCAAAAGAGCAAGCGGCCACCTAAATTCACCGAAATGGAAAGCGACCGCTGACCATAAACAACCGCAATTGCAGATGCGTTGCCTACTCTTGATAGACGGAGGAGGAGACGCACATAAAGAGGTCATTTCTCCTTCCATATCATGTCCTCTTTTCCTTACCATACTTTCCTCTGACGAAAAGGATGGAAAGGGAAAGGGACTAAAACCACGCTCATCAAACGAAACGCGGAATTACTTTCACTTCATGCCTGTCTTCTGTGTGATCGTGGTATGACACCGGGCGTGCCGACTCATTCGTGCGAAGATGTTAGGCTGTACTACTGTAAAGCGCTTTCTTCTATTTTTAGAGATTTTTATAGACCAAAACCTTACGTACTTTATAAAGGTAAGAATTGAGTTTCGTTACATAGATTCGGAATAATATAGTTTATTTATTTCATTAAATACACAATATTATATTTACTAAATAATAGCGTACTGTTAAGATTTAAATTGCATTCGCTCTAGATGGCACAGAATCTGTAGAAATCTGATGCCGTTCCCATCTATATTTCAGTACACAAAGAAGGCTTTGTTGATGTTAACGCTACAGGCTTTGCGCTTCGGGAGGATTACCTGCGCTGCTTTCTTCAAAATTCTTTTCGCCAACTAAGATAAACTTTACAAGAAAATTTTATACAACTTTTAAGTGCTTTTAAGTTATAGAAGTTATACATATAAATAAAGTTTAAGAAAAGTTTAAAATGTTACTGAAACTGATAATTGTAAGCAAGTTTATGCAAGAAGTAGTCATGTAGGCAACGCATCTGCTATTGTGAAATTATATGGGCAATTATCGCTTCGCTTTTTAGGTGCATTTATGTGACCCCTCGCTCGTTAGTCACCTTATAATATAAAAACAAGTGCGCTAGTTTTCTTTTAAAAGATAATGTGTATATGTCTTCTTGATTAATAAACATGAGTTTCGTAGCAGTGTGTTCACACATAACTAAGGCTGTGTTTGTCTTCCGTAGCACTGCTACGTGTTAACGCTACGGCTGCGGCGCTCGCCGCTTTGTTTAATTTGTTACGCGAACTTCTGAAAGCTTAAAACTCTTATATTACACAACCTACTTTATGCGAATTATTTCCAAGCGAAATTTTAATGAATTTTTAAGTAGGACGATTTTTTTTTAAATAAAATGTAATTATCATAAACTAGATGTAGCTCGCGACTTCAACCGCGTGAAATTTAAAAAATAAATAAATTATATAGCCAATGTCAATCGCTGACGACGTAGCTTTTTAATTGTGAAATAATTTTTGGAATCGGCCCAGTAGTTTTTGAGTTCTTTCAATACATACAAAACATATCTTTCCTCTTCTTTATAACAATAATATAGACTACAGTTACAATACAAGAATATATTTTTAACAGACCTTAGAAAAGAGGTTGTCAATTTGTCTACGTTTAAAACAAAAGACCGTCAAATTATAACAACGTTCAAATTTATAATATTGGTATAGAAGTATTTAGTTACCTTTTTAATTTATCTCAGTTGGTTGTTTTGTTGTTTCCAATATTCTTTACTTGATTCATTGATTCTAAATGATGTATATGTGATGAATGGTCTATAATGAAGTACTGATTGATGTGGCTCCATCTATAGTCGTATTAATGCATTTCAATTGTATGCAAATGCATTCGAGCAAATTCATTCGTCTGTTTGCAATAGAATATGTATAGACAATCACAACGCTAACTATAACACTAGTCTATACTTATATTATAAAGAGGAAAGATTTTGAATTTTGTACGTATTGAACTCAAAGACTACTGGGCCGATTTACACCATAGGTTATATATTTTATTAATTTCACGCAGACAAAGTCGCGAGCAACAGCTGATAATGTATAGTTTGAAGACCCTTTTTCGAATGACATATTTAGAAACACGACGATAAAATCTCTTTGAAAATTCTTCTCAATCAGTTACAAAAATAATTTAAATTAATTAATCTTACTATCTTACTAATATTATAAATGCGAAAGTATGGATGGATGGATGGATGGATGGATGGGTGGATGTTTGTTAGCGTTTGTAGCCTAAACAGCTGAACGGATCTCTATGAAATTTGGCATAGGTTTAGAGCATAGTCTGGAAGAACACATAGGCTACTTTTTATCCCGGGAATAGTTACGGTTCCCATGGGATTCGTTAATTTAGATTTTTAATGTTTACTCGATCTTTCTGCAACGGTTCAACATATCTTATTGAAATTTGGCACAGATATAAAACAAAGTCTGGAGTACACATGGGATAAGCTTCATCCCCGAGAAATGTCCGGTTCCCGAGGGATACGTAACTTTTTGTAATTTGTATGGTTTTTATGTTTTCTAATACCACGCGTACGAAGAGGCGGGCAACAGCTCGTCATTTAATAAAAATGTTTTATAACTAATGAAATAGTACTATACAAAATGAAAACCAGTATGTATGCTACTTGAAGCGTTCAAACGTTAGCTGATAACAAAAACGTTTCATTTGTTTGTTTCAACATTGTATTCGCTAGAGTGTAATTGTTATTAAAGGCATTAAAGAGAAAATTATACAAATGATCACGTTAACTAAAGTAATTAGAAATCTACTTAAAGGCTTGTATTATTTTTACTACTTACAGTAGTTATTATTATATGGATATTTATTTATTACTAGCTTTTGTCCGTAACTTCGTCCGCGCGGAATTAAAAAAAAAAACAAATGCAAATAGCCTATGTATGTGTTCTACTAGACTGCCCTCTATATTTATGCCAAATTTTATCGAAATCCGATGAGCAATTTAGGCTACAAACTCTAACAAACATCCATCCATCTAAACTTTCGCATTTATTTATGTATGATTGTTTAGATTAACAATATCTGCTGTTAATCTACAAAAAATAATATTACTGAGTAACGCTCTACTCATAGTCGTTTAGTGGTCTTTCTTAGGGAAGATTTAATATTAGTAATAATGTCAGTGTTACTTAAAATACTACTTAGTAATTTCAAGAGAAAGGACTCAAGACCCTTCTATTTCTATTTACACTAGATTTTTTTAAATTATAACCCGTTTCAATTCGCACCCTCGTCCGCGTGAAATAAAAAAAAAAACAGCTTATGTAACTCAGTGATAACGTGGCTTTTTAATGGTGAAAGAATTATTGAAATCGGCCTAGTAGTTTTTGAGTTATTTCAATACATACAAATATCTAAAAATACAACACTTTCCATATTTTTTAATATTATTGTAGATAAAACTTTAATTTAACATTTTTCAGTTTACATATACGATTGTGTATTTTATTGCAATTTAATTCGGCCGCAGTCCGCACCTGCGTTTTGTCGCCACTTGCATAAATAATCGCTGTATAAACATTCATTAACCAAAACAAATTGGTATTTGCGTATTTGAGTTTTAGGACTCATATATCATTAACAACATTATACCCTATTATGAATTCAGGTTATGTCTATTTGTGTTTCGTTGTAGCTTTGGTGTTTTAATGTATTTTTATAAGTTGAAATTTTCAGTACAAAATATCGTTGAACTGTCTTTTTAAATTAAATTTTATTTATTAAAATCTATGCTTGATGTAAAAATATTAACAATAATTATTTAATTTTAAATCTCATAATGTTACACATTTATATCTATACTATCATAAAGAGGAATGATTTGTATTTTTGCATGTATTGAAATAACTAAAAAATTACTAGGCCAATTTTTAAAAATTCTTTTACCATTAAAAACTGACTAAAATAGGCTGTTTTTAATTTCACATGGACAAAGTCGCAGACAACAGCTTTTCTTAAATATTGTCCGTACTTACCTGACACTCGTACGTGCCGTTATCTCTTTTCTGAACAAACTTGATCTGCAAAGTCCAATCCTCGGAGCCTTCCCCGTGTAGGACCTGTGGAAGATATGAAAATATAGTACATGTTCACAAACAGTCACTAGATGGCACTTTTACAAAATTATTGTCGTCAATCAAAGCGGTCGCGGTCGCGGCCGCTTTATATCGCATCGAATATGCAAAATCCTGACATCGTGCGTGAGTCGCAATTTCATTATAATTTAATTATTACACTTACTAGAATCTTAAACATACTAAAAGCAGTAAAACTCGGGACAACTTTTTATTATGATCTGATAATCATGGACATATTAAGGAAAGAGATGTGGAAATTTATTTTCTGTTATAAAAGATATTTAATAGTAAAGGGAATCTCGGACATCAAATAGTCGCCAATAAACTGGAAGCGTTAAATTTAAATCGCACATCATTAGAGCTCCGGAAGCATCAAAAACGAAGCGCAACGTTCTCGGCGATTTCATTTAAAACTAGCGTAAAACGAACGATATCCGATCGAATAATTTCCCAATCAATTGACCAGTCGTTAGTAACCGTCGACAATTTCTAGTTTAAAATACCGCAAAGAATTACATATTCATTAGCTTTGTCCAATGTTCATTTATACAGAAACATTTGTAACAAACTACACATCCGTAATTACGTTTACTGATGTCGTTTTAATTAATACTAAAAAGTGGTTACCGGAATGCAAATTTACTGGCTCTGTATAATAAACATTAATTTGTGAACGCCTGTATGATACTGTTTTGTTTTGACATCTGTACTAATACAGTGACGATTTGTATTTTTTTGTATTGAAATAACTCAAAAACTACCGGATTGATTTAAAAAATTCTTTCACCACTAAAAAGCTACGTTATCAGTAAGTAACACAGGCCATATTTTTAATTTCACGCAAACGAAGTCGCGAGCAACAGCTACCACCGACAGCGTGTTAGAAGGGACCCTGTGCTCGTCTGCTCAACACTGTCAGTTAACGCGTGATATGAGACATTCGGAAAAATATTTACTAGTACATAAATATTAAATAATACATTTGTAGTATCTACACAAAAACATTTAAGAAATATTCAGACAAGGCATAGTGAACAACATTTTTCACCGGTACTTTCTTTGAAAGGTACTATATCAGTTGTCAAGTTTTACTAGTAGACATGTTATATGAAAAACGTCAAGTAAAGGTCAACTATGCCTACTCTATATATATTTTGAATCTCTTGTATTTATATATGTTCATGTTTCTGGTCGTATTTACTATGGAACCAAGTTTTTATAATTACAGTTTTCTTACCTGGAACCGTTCGTCGTTCGTGTATGTAAATTTTCCTGAACTGAGAATGTGCCAGTCGCGCTTCCTAATCCACGATACTTGCTGGAAAAACAATACAACCTTATAATTACATTTTATACCGCCGTATGAACACAGATAAGTGTGTCAGAGTAAAAATCTTACTAATATTATAAATTCGAAATTGCAGATGGATGGATTTTTGTATGAATTTGTAGCCTAAACTGCTGTACAGATTTCGGTGCCATTTGGCATAGACGTCGAGGATATTCTGGAAGACAACATAGGCTATTTACTTTTCTTTTATTTAATTCCACGCGAACACAGTGGCGGGTGACAGTATAATTATTTGTCAAAATGTAACAAATAACAAATTAAATGGTCTCTAAGGGCTTACGTTAGGATAGATTAGAACAATCTTAAAGAGTTTGAACGAACTTAAATATTCTAGAATTATGCCCAGTTTTCTGGTCGAGTACCGAGTAATTTAGTAGGTAAAGTGCTCACTTCTTTATGATGTGATAATCTACTGGACTACATTTTTGTTGTTCACGCTTTCAGTTTCGCTTTCAGCCTTTAATATTTATAAATATGTCGGAGTGACGAGCGGTTCGTAGAATACAATTCCGAAGGTAGATCATGTAACGGTAACGTTCTTCCATTGGGGGCGTGCGTACGCACGCATACGCACTCATTTCGTTTACAAATACGATCGCGTAACATAAGTAACACCATCATTAGCTGACCCTCATCTTAATTGATAACTTCACAACACACTCTAAACACACATTTATAGAGATTAAACCAATTGATTTTATAATATCAAAACGCATCATTCCACCATTGTCATCTGTCATCTGTCATTCTTTCGTCGTTTAGAAATCTATTATACACGATGCACATTCAGCTAGTACTCAAAATTATTAGTTGCCAGTTACTTTAATCGTTCAAAAAGTATTATTAATTTCGCTCCGTTAAATACATACCCCTCGTTCATTCAAGTGTCCGACGAGACAGTGTAGGTAGGCGGTGCCTCCTAGCTGTGCAGTGACGTTGCTCACTGAATTGTTGGCTGTTACATCTGACGACGGCTGCGCTCGCCAACCTCGTGAACGCGACGTGCCATGGTGTCCTGCAATTAAAAGTTAGTAGAAATAGAAAGATTTAACGGAAATAGAACTGATTGCAGATAATTATCGATCGGGATATTGTTCCTTGACTAAGATAATATATAACGTTGTTAAACCTATTGATTTAAATTTAACTGTACTTTATCGCAATAGTGATAAAAATATTCTGGTATAATATAAGGTGAAGAGGTGCTTTCCATACAAAGTAAATAAAACATTTTTCAGATCGATATTATGCTTTAATAATTACATGACAATCTGAAAGTATGTATATGCAAAAAATGTCCCTCCGTCATTATCGTTTAGTCAATTTAAAAAAAAATATATGGTCGTTTAAACAATGCGAATTGTTGCAAATCCTTTCTAGTACCCAGGTTAGATATGTGTGGGCATGTAGAAAATATAATCGGGCTTACATACAGGGTGTTACTAAGAGCGTAATACGCGCCTAGATTAAGGCTGCGGTCAGCGGTCAGTTTACGGTCTCTTGTCGCCGCGAATACGAGCGCGCCTGATATTTGCTCGTTCTCTAAATTACATGTACATTTTCCTTTTTTTTATAAAACTGATATTGCTCGGGTTCAGGGTAATATGGATAATGTTTAGAATAAAATTATTGTGTTTGTTTAGGTTATATTTTAGAGTTTCTGTTGTGTTTACAAAGGTTTATAAGTCGAGTTTATTGGCTGGTGAATGGAAGCGTATTTATACCATTTTTGCTTCGTTCATGTACTTTAACAGTAATAATGAATAGTTTGTCGATGTAAAGTTTATTACGAATAAATTTTTTTTATTAATTTTAGTAAAGTTTGTAACACAGTCAATTGTTTTCTTTATTTCTCCCGTGTCTAGATCGTGACTCGTAAACATGCAAATGAGGGTTGTATTTCCTCGCATAATACAAATTTATACTCTCCAACGATACACTATGGAGACCCGCAATGCGTACGTTATGTATGTTAACGTTACATAAATTCTTATTTATAAAAAAATCTTTAAAGTTTTTTCGGTACAAAAAATCAAATGGATGATAAGTCAATGGCGACATATACCTATCACAAAAACAAAGGGACGTGCATCGTAACGTATTTTATTTGTGAAAGGACAACAAGAATATGAGGAGACCATTAGAAATTCTTGGAGTTCATCACTCTATACGCATATAATAACAATTATCGTCTACATGTTGTGAGGATTGTGAATTTCTATGGACTGAAGATGTTAATTTTCATTGAGATAAATAGTAAGGTACGTTAACCAGTTGTTGACCCATAAATAAAGTTATTTGTATGTGAACGAAACGTTATAATTATTTTTTTCGAAATTAGAGTTGTTCTAGCAAATTATTAGTATCTTAAACAACCCTTATAGTACCAGCGTACGTAGTAATTTCAAATGTAACGTGCATCTAGATTAGGGGTGCGGTAAAGCTTGGCTTTACTGGCACTTGTCGGCGCGTTTACGACCACGGCAGGGCTTTGGCTCGCTGCGGCAATGTGTTTGTCTTTTTCAATTGTAATTATCTTAAGCGTATACGCCTTGCTTTTAATTAAATTTTGAATATAAGGAAATAATCTCAGTGTAAGAGAAAGGGGAACGAAAATATACAAAGGAATTGTTCAAATTACGCTATAATGATGGAAGTTAATAAAATAAGACGCTAAGAAACAATTTTCCTCAAATCTACACTACTTATAATTAAAAACAGTTATAAAAATAAAATACTCATGAATAAAAATCTGTGTGCGATGTGAAAATCCTATATCATTTGTCAGAATGGTTTATACGTTCTTTGCTCGTTACTTTTGAAATAATGTGGTTAAATTAACTTCATTTTAAAAGAGGCATATGCAACTTAATGACTTTTACTCCATTTTTCGAAAGAGCTTTATGAAAGTAAATAGTTTCAGCAAAATCGTTAAGTTTTTTTAATAATAAGTATATATGATGTTTGAATCAAACATTTATATTGTGTTTCATCATCACCAGCTCACTATGCGTCCCCACTAAGGGGCTCGGAACTTACCATATGGGGTGACTAGTCCATGGTCAACCACGCTGGCCCACTGCGGGTTGGTTGACTTCACACATATCTTCGAAGATATGTACAGGTTTGCATTACGATGTTTTACCGTAAGAACGTCTGGTAAATTATGTACATATGAAATTCGAAAATCGAAAATCACATTGGTACATAACGGGATTCGAACCCAGGACCTGCAGATTACAAGTCAAGTGCTTAAACCACTGAGTCACCGACGCTCTATTATGTTATATTGCGTTTAAAATTAGAAATATGTAGATTACACTAAGCAAAAAATCTTTTTAAATCATCTATCGCTTTTTATATATTTTTAGCAAGAATGAAATGTTTACTGCAAATGTTGTTTGATTAAATATTCTTATCGAAATAGTATTCTTGTGCAGACGGGCCGCAATGCGCACTTCAGACGTACGAGCACAAAGTACGGATTTGCTTTTTACGTCACCCTGTTTAGATTGGCTGCGACTTTGACGATAATAAAATTGTCTAGAGTATTTTTTTAAGAATTCTGAAAAAACAACATTAAATAAATGTTAAATTAATACCTTTTGGTACTTTTAAGACGTTTGATTTTTTTATGTTTTACAGATTTTTTTTATTTTGTCGTTCTCTAGACTTTGTCCAATTCTGTTTACGACGAGAATCCCATAGTTTAGTTACGACTTTATGTTTGTGATTTTGTGTGACAGTCAATTTAAACTTTTATAATCTTGTCTAGCGAAAAATGTCATCTAATAACAAGCAATCTAAAGTAGCGTGTATTTAAATTAGACGCCGCAATCTTTGTTATTACGGTCGCAGAATCGTCCGCCGCATGAATCGTAATTGACTTATGCACCAACTTGAATGGAGTTTGTAATATTTGTTTCTAAACGGAAACGGACTGAAGAAGTTACGAAAAGTTTTATTTTTTTATAAAAATGTTTGTATTTGAAGTGCATTTAACAAGTGGCCATTTTATTTGATAATGTAAAATAATTCGTAAGGTAATAAATTGCTAAAAGTTTGCTACAAAAGTTCTTTAAATGTAGGGTCTTCTAACCGACAAACGAAGTCTGGGGTATTTCCTAGTTACATTGTAAGGTAACTAGGAGATACCCCAGTTTTCGTTTTCAAAAGGAAAGAATTTCCTTTTAATGTAGACATATTACCTTGCTGGTAACCCTAAATGCTCATAGCGCCATCCTGTCAATGTCAAAAAGGTGCAGCGATATCGTTGAGGGACTATAAAGTTTTTATAATTTCATGCGGATGAAGCCGCACGGGAACAGCTAGTATTGTTTACTCACAGTAAAATGTAGGTTTAATCAAAATAATAAAAGTGGATACAATTAAAAAACAACAACGTTGTAGGTATATTGTTTTTGTAAATTACTCATACGTACTTTCAAAGCGCTGAACGCTACATTTTAATTGTGTTCTGCTCGTATTAACTAGGTCTTTGTTGATACAGAATGAAAAGATACATATATAAAAAATGTGCATCTGTTATTTATAATGTTGAGTAAAAAAACATGCAAAATTAAGAAGAATTAACAGGAGAGCTACTCGTAGGTACAATTCAAAATTTAGCTTTTATTTTTTTTTAAAAAAATTAATTATGTCCGGTTTCTCAGCTACGTTTAACAATTCGTTAGTGATTTTGGTTCGATAACTTAATGAAATGCGTTTCTGAACTACCTAACTTAAATTTTACTTACTTGAAACATAGGTTAACCTAACGCTAATGAATCACTAGGTAATGATTAAGTAAACGGTCTTTAGAAACCCAGAATTAAAAATTTAAACAGAAAGCTCTGCTTATTCTGTATTTCAAACGTTAAATACGAAAAAAGGTAAGATTTTTTCGTTTTAATAAACTCCCGAAGAAGTTGCAAGGGCTACCTTTTCTAGAATTTATAGGAACAAAAACATCCCACGTTAACCTTTAGTTTCAGCATAGTGTCATAAGTTAACCCCCTGTCACATTTGGCACTTTAGGCTCACATGAAATATGGAAACCAATATCCATTATCCTTGTTTACCCTGTTTTATGTAGACTGGATTGAAGGTGATGTTTACGAGTAAAAAACGTTCATGTTCTTTTTTAAATTATTTACTTATTACGTTAATATGTACTTTAGTGTAATTATATCTCTCTCTGTTTCTTATGTACCCAAAGTGGGGCAGAGGGCTCTACAGTACGCCACCAGCTCGCTCTGTCCTGAGCTCTGCGTGTGGTCTCGGACCATGATAGCCCGATTGCCTTCAAGTCAGCCGCAACTGAACGCCGCGCCGCTAGGTTTGTTATTATACGCTATTGACTAAATGGAGACTAACTTCCATACTAAGCGTTAAACGATTATTTAAGAAGTTTTGTTGCAAAATGTACCATAGATAGCGTAAAAATATAGTATTTTAACGTAATATAATTTACTTCCAAGTCTTCAAATCAATATATTCAATGTTGAAATAACAATTCCTGCGTATCAATAGTATAGAATATGTAAAAGTATGGCCAATATTCTTTCTAAAAGCTATAAAACTCGAAAAAAAAAGTTTAATCAAAGGTTGAATTGTTTCGTAATAAAAGCAGGGGCCGTAGTTCAGTTTTAATCCAGGATTTTCGATTGAACAAACAAATTGCTCTATAGTAACGGACAGACTGTGTTTTTCATTTGGCAGGTTATTAATTATTTTAACTGCTACATTATTTAAAGCTAGCGATGTTTTTAAACGACGGCTTTTATTTGATACGATGTTGAAAGGTTTTTTTTTATAGTTCAATCGTACAAATCGTTTTTACATCTTGTTTCTAGAAACAATAAATACTTACAATCCTTTCCATGTTAACGTTCAAGAACTTATTTTATCAATTGCTTTGTATGCAACCGATATATTGTAGTTCTACAATAATTTGAGTTCATAAAAGGTCCATATGTTTGGCATTTAGCACTTCAAATATGTTATCAAAGTGGCCCAATTTATTTTACAAATACACAGTTCTTAATGTGTATTCTACACTAGGTATTGCTCGCCACTTAGCTTGTGTCAATTAAAAACATATAGCTTATATTACTCACAGATAAATTACCTAACTAACGGTGAAAGAATTTTTAAATCGGTTTAGTAGTTTTTGAGTTATTTCAATACATACAAAAATACAAATCTTTTCCCTTTATAATATTAAGTATAGATTAATAAAGGTAAAAAAAAACAATTGAAAACGCCGCCAATGTTTTAATAATCGGAATGTAATATAAAATAATATAACACTTTGTTTAATTTTCGTTTGTTCCCTTTGTCACGTGGTATGAAAATATTCAAAGCCGAGAGAATTAGCGGATTCGTAGGGGCGTAAAATTAAAATTGTAGCAGCTATTTGTTTGTGTAATATTTCACATTCATTCCCACAAAGTATTCGAGTTTTGAATATAAAAAAAAAATCTAATAAAAGCGCTGAAGTGCACGAGAAAAAGAACCTTATTATACCGATAAAAATAAAAAAAATAATTCCAGTAACTTGAGTTGGGCACAATTGATAATCTTAGTTTATTTTGGGAGTCAAGAAATTTCTATAATTTGCTTTAATTTTGAGTAACCGCTACACAAACAGAAGAATAAAATAGTCATATTATTTTTATTCTCATTGCTGACATGTTTTTGTAAACGTGTTTCGTTAGTGGGAACTCACAGTAAAGCAGATCTCCATGGCAACAGGCGTAAGGTAAATATTATCTTGTTCGTATTTTGGTATTGTCATGGTTAGTATCGTATAGTTATTAATTTGACATCCCTTCTTATGTAACCTTTGAAGGGTGTTATTATTTTCCTTTGTAATATGATCCGAAATTATTTAAGAACCTTTCTCAAAAGCCCTCAAAATGGCTACTGATCAAAGATTTGGTTTTCGTATATTAGATAATGCTCGGGTCCGAAATCCATAATCAACAATGTTTTCACACTAATTGTAATTCTAGGATGGCTACGTCGTTAAGAATATGTAAGAAATCGTTTTTTATAAAGAACTAGCTAGCGCTCGCGACTCCGTCAGCATGGAATTTAAAAAACAAAAGTGAGTAGTCTATGTTTTCTTCCAAATTTAGTCGAAATCCGTTCAGCCGTCTAGGTTAACTTTTAAAAACATCCATCCATCCATCTAAACTTTTGCATTCATAATATTAGTATGATCTAATCTTGCATTGAAGGATGCACTGCTGCGCTTCGCTATTGTTTATAACTGGCGGCGTTTTCTGTGTTTATTAAGATTATGCCTTATTTGGTAGGTAATAAAGTTTACAATAAATGTATTCTGTAATAACATGGTATGGGCGGGTTAAATTAGAGTTCGGTTTGTTGGACATTGTCGTCCGTTTACGACTTGCGAAGCAAATGTTGTATTTTTTTAGTTTTATAGCCATATCGTATTTGTTTAGGTTACGAGCTTTTGTTTTGTGTTAACAATTTAAGTTGTTTTTGTTTCTCTGACTATTATTCTTTTTTGTTGTTTCAGTAGATTTATGTTGAGTCAAGACGTTTTTTATTTTTTTAATGGGATAGTGATAGAATAAGGGATATATAAAAATAAGAGTATCTTTTATCATGTTACTTCGTAAATTATTTAATGTACTTATAATACGCATGAAAAGTAAAAGCGACTTATTTTCAGACAGGTTTTATGAAGCGATATATGACGTATCGGTAACACATTAAATTATTGGATAAAGCTTTTAAAAGTTTCGAAGTTCTTCAGGACTTCTGAAAAACTCATTTCGTTCAACACTTCAAAGTCGCTGCTTTTTTCTCCGACGTCATAAATGAGAATTGCCTCTTTTTGTTACGAAAAGTTTAAGTCATTACGGATTCATACCGGTTAAGTTCAAGTTAGAGTACAGGGCCGCATTGCGTCTATTATTTAGAAATGGTGTTTTTATTTGTTGTACTTTTTCTCTTGTCAAGTGACATGGGTAGACTTTGATTTACTTGTTACGACTACTTAAATAGATTAAATTATAAAATTAAATAAGAATTTTGGTGGTATTATATTTATATTAAAGAATCTAAAGAAATGTTATTTTTAAATCTTAAAATAATACGTTGATGGGAAAATATTTTTTTGACTTACATTACGATATATCAATCTCTTTGACTTTGCTGGCTCTACCGGCCGGAAATGTGGATAGATTTCAAAGGCAAGGAAGCATATCTAGGTCGTGCGATCGCGATGGCCGCTCGGCTGCCCTAGATTTAGTCAAATGTGCATAAAAGCCAAGCGATCGGACTAACGTATCTGCTCTGAATGAATTCATAGAATGAAATGGAAAGATAAATGATTGAAAATTGTTTTTTATGACATTAAAAAGAACTTCTAAAGGATAGAGTTCACGTTCAATGCCACTATAATAATAATAATAACAATTATAATATAATAATTCTAATAGCGAAGAGCTTTGACCAACACCTCAAGAAGCTCTCGCTAGACAGTTGGATTAAGGGCCCTATTCAAAAGGCGTTTATTTTAGAAACCGCAGGAATAGTGAGGAGGTTCCAGTCTCTGCAGCCCTGATCACCGGTTGCTTGAGTCATCGGATTCCGCAGTCGGTGGACTTCTATATTTTTTATAATACGTATTATTTTTTTTAATAAAAAATTATGTAAAATGTATTATATATAAAAATGAGAAATTAAACTATGAGAAATAAAAAATATTAAGTGTAGGTAAATTAATTACTTTTGTGTATATTCAAGTGGGTTTATAGGTTGTTTGTCTAATGTAGCAACATTTTAACTTATCCTTCGACCTAATACATGTTACAAGCCGTAACACGTGTTAGCTAACAGATTAATTAAATCTGATTAAGCCACGATTAAGGAGCTACGTATCGGACGCTACGTTGGGTTCTGAATAATAAACGAGAGAGGACGCCTTTTATATATGTAAGAATGGACTTACTTTGTTGTTAATTAATTTAATAGTTTGAGAAATTCGGTGCGTTGAAAGTGATTTGTACCTTAAATAGGTTTAAAAAGAATAAATCTATTTTTACCGACTTCCCAAAAGAAGGAGGTACTCAAGTCGTCTGTATGTTATATTTTTTTTGTGTGTTACGGCATAACTCCGTCGCTAGTGGACCGATTTTTTTTTTGTGATAATTCTTTTTTGTTATTATTATCTTCTCATATATCTTTATTCCTTAATTTGTATATAATATATTTTACATGCTTTATATAAAGTTGTATATATGTATTTCTTATTTTTATTAGTATAGGACTAATACAAATACATTAAACGAAATTACGTATACGTTATTACATGGAACTAAAACAAACATGCATTAAAAATTAAAGTTTCAAACATCACAAAATCTTACAAAACACTTCCTCCTCTTTGTTGCGCAAACTATCTTATTACTCAAGGGTATTTTAATGCATTATTCAATATATTAAAAGAGAATACATTATTGTTACGTACTGATATCCCCAGTGGAGGATGTGATGAGAGGCAGCATGAAGAAGACGGCGGCGGCGAGCGGCGCGCCCACGCCACCCGCGACGCGCCATCTCATCTGAAACCACAAGATTTATGCGTGTGTAAAGTGGAAGAAACTCTGCTAGTCGTCTGAGGACTGCGCATGACGAAAGCATTTTAAAATCAGGTGATTTTACTGCGTAGAAGACGCATAAAAAGGTGGAAATATTCCTATTTATGTGTGTCTTTGTCTGTCGATTAAGGGTTCGCAACGCAACAGTAATTGCGTATGTCTATGGACAGCGGTTGCTTTGCTTTTTCGGTGAATTAAGTTTGCCGTTCGCTCATTTGCCACCTTATTATAAAAAAGTAAACTTTCAGTTCAGGGTACCTATAAAGTTAAAGTTTGTGGTATAATTATCCTCCTTCTCGGACGGACCCTCGTTATTGTTATTGTAAATGTTTTCAACTTTTATAATAACCGTATTGCTATTAACGCAACCTCGCAGTTTCCTGCGAAAAATTATACAAATCCCGAGCAGTTAGTCCAACTTTGTAATTAGTTTTAATTTTACTGTTATTACTGTTTGTACCGTTTGAAGCAGTTTGAGCGTTTTGACTTAGTAATTTGATGTTTCATCAGTTTTTGAAGGAATTTAACTTCTTGTAAAATAGCAACTGCTTCTGTTTTAAATACTCGTATATTTTTTATATCTTTTGCCCGTGACTTCTTGTGTTTGTGTGTTCATCTAGACTGTATTCTATTTCATGCCAAATTTTATCGAGATCCGTTCAGCAGTATTAGAGAAACGTAGTAATAACTATCCATCCATCCATTCCAACCTTCGTATGTATAAAAGTAAAATAAATGAAATTGTGTATGAGAGTGTTTCTTTTTCCAAAGAAAATCAAAGGGTGGATAATGTTCAACAAATCAAAAGTTACAAACTCCTAACAAAGTAGGCGAATGTAAACTTCGCAACTGATCCCTGGGAATAATGGGACGGCAACTGATTTCGGAGTCAGTTACAGATGTTCTACTCTAGGGAAATATTGCCTCGACTGAGTAACTCAGCTGTCTGAACTGTCTTGAATGATGACAGCCCTTCATTCGTGACGGAGAGACATGATCTAGAGTAATCATGTATAGTGAGATATTATTAAATGTCGTTATAACTTTAAAATATAAATAGATGTATAAGTATGATTTAAACTACAGCTAAATACTGAAACTATAAGAGCGTCTTAAATGATGAGGCCACGCTTTAACAACAAACTTGGTTAATTTGACATCTGTCAGGTAGGTAAACAGTACGAAGTAGTGTTTATGGGTCGTTCCAACATTTAAGAAATATATAGGCGTATATATATATACTAGGCGTAGTGAACGAATTTTTTTCACCAGTACTTTTTCTATCAGTTATCAAGTATAGTACCACCATGTTTCCTTAACAGGTACTAAAACATTTTGAAAAGTTGTAACAAGCTCCATCTTTTGTTATAAAATAAACTAAATAGTGTCACAAAATAAAATTGAAACATTTAAATATTATCTTATCTTATCTTATTGAAAATTAATCATACTAATACTAACATCATAAATGCGAAAGTTTAGATGGATGGATGTTTGTTAGAGTTTGTAGCATAAACGGCTGAACGGATTTCAGTGAAATTTGGTATAGATGTAGAGGATAGTCTAAAAGAATACATAGGCTACTAACTTTTGTTTTTTTTTAATTTCGCGCAGACGGAGTCGTGGGCGAAAGCTAGTTTAAATATAATTAATTACCTTGACATGTGGCTTCAAGGCTGTCAACAGATAGTGATGGTTATGTAAAAAATCTCTCAAGTAAAGTGCCAACAATGCCTACTCTATGTATTTTTTCAATGTCTTTGGTTTTAGAAAAAAAATCAGTATTCGTAACCGAGAACGAACGTGCATTTCGTATTAAAGATTTTAAAGATAGTGAGTACTTTTCAAGAAAGATAAGATGGAGATTGTATAATATTTTATTCAGTAGCTACTTTAAAAAGAAACTTCAAACAAGTTTCGTAACCGTCTCCCGTGTAGGTTGTGACCTAGTTGAACTTGGACCACTTGCTTAGGCAAATTTCTTAAAACTACCTTCGTATTCTGCGAGGTGTTTTAAATTCCAACAATCTAAATTAAGAATTTCATGTTCATGTTAATTTGTGACACTTGAAGACTTATAATATTTCACAATAATGCATACTATAATAATAATAAAAAAAGATTTGGAACTAGCACTGACACTTCTGAATAGATAAAAAAAATATTCACTATTAGAAAGCAAATATTCAGTATTAGAATTTTGTAAATTTGGATGGATGTTCCGTTAAGAGGAAAAAATAGCCTAAAATTAAACTGGCTTTGCTTTAAATACTTAGCTCAAATATCTTGGATTATTGTGAGATCTTAAGTGTACTTGAGGGAAATATAAGTGGCAGTGCAACCTTACTAAAGGATTTTACTCGTTGCTTATTTCTCTAGAGAACTAATGGAAGTTATGGTTAAGATGTAAGTAATATTTATATTTTCTATAACCATATCTATACTTCTATACTTATTATAATAAAGCGTAAACACACACTTCTTTGTTGCCTAAGATGTCAGCAATTACAGCATATTTTTAGATAATACTTTTTTTAACAAAAAGCCCTACACTTACGACACGCTTTGGGCTATATATATTCACACCAATAAACTTAAAACATTTTGAATAAAAACCCTAATGTGGGTAAGAGACCATAAGTAGCTGCCTACATCAAGGAAGGTTGCCATGGTTTGTCATCATGTCATGTCATTTTGACATTAGCAATTGATAATTTGACACATGTAAACAATAAAATTAAATTTTCATTGTTTTATGCGGATGAAGTCGTACGGGAACAGCTAGTTGTTGAATAAAGGTAATAGACACTAATACTTTATCTTTCAGTTATGGATTATTCTCCTCGCGATTTAGACTTTTATCAGTATTTAAACGTATTTTAAACGAAAAGAACGTTAATTTTTGAATGTAAAGGTATGTACAGACTGACGTTACAATGTTATAAGGCGAACATTCATGCAATCAGTACGTAGTGTAACGGGTAAAGAGCATTGTGATGTTCGATGCGAATATCATATCTGTACGCACTTTAACAAATAAAAAATGTAATTTCGGAGTATCCCTTAGTGTATTTTTATCTTATTTTTATTTGAATTATATCAGTATTGTATTCGTAGTTTAATTACTCAACAGTTGTATTGTTTGAAGAGACAAAGGGAAGATCGATAGACGTCCGTCAGCTTGTCACCCCTGACAAACAGGCCACTTACTGCCGGCGCGGCACTTGGACATTTCCTTATAAATGTAATGAACAAAGCCAATAGTTACTTTGTCTTTGGGTCAATGGTGAGTAACTTTAAGTAATTGCTTCTGTATATTTACGATTATTTGAAAGTTTATTTAAGAACTAACTGTAACAAAATTAAATAGCTATTTATGTGCGTTTATACAAAATGATCGAGTTAAAAATTTCTAATTTACATTTGTCCAGTGTTAACAAAACGTATTCATCATCAAAAAAATATTACACAAGCGAAATTAAAGTCGTTAAAACAAATACGACAATGACGAATTGAATTTTTTTAACGTAAACGTTACTCAAATAACTTACAGTTCAAAAACCGGGTCACTTTTTAAACTTATCAAGTATTTTTTTTCACGAGATCCGTCATTTATTCTTTGTAACAGTAAAAACTTTTAACCGAGCTCCATTCCTAATAATAAGCGATTCAAGCATCGAACTGGCGTTTCTTTTCAACCACGGACGTTTGTTAGGGGTCAGTTTTTAACTCTCGAGTTCCATTATAACTGCATTCACTTTAAGTACTGACAATAGATCCTATTGAGTTTTGTTAAGCGAGTTCCATTCAATATAGGGTGAAATTGTTGGTTCCCTTTTAACTATTTAATCGTAATTATAAAGATTGTTTTATCTTTTTTTATATGAGAAAGGGGCAAACGAGCAAAGGTGGTCAACAACGTCCATGGACATCCGCAACACTAGAGGAACTACCGATGCGTTGCCGGCCTTTGAGGAAATTGTAGGCTCGCTTCTTGAAGGACCCTAAGTCGTATTGGTTTGGAAATACCGCCGAGGACAGACCGTTCCACAACGCGGCTGTGCGGGGCAGAAAGTTCCGCGAAAACCGCACGGTTGTGGAATGCCAGCCATCAACATGGTGAGGATGGTGCCTGGCGGTCTGCCGTGTCGTCCGATGACGAAATTCGGCGGCAGGAATCGTTCCTAACAACTCCTGGGAACATTCCCCGTGGTAAATACGGTAAAAAATGCAGAGTATAGATACGGTATAGGTACAAATAAAATTACGTATACGAACATGTATTACATATGTATACATATGTATACATATCCTTAACCTTTAACCATTTTTTCAAACTCATCCTTTACCTGGATAAAGTCGCGGGCAGCCATAAGTCTTGTGAACTCGAAAGGCTGAGAAAGTCCTTAATAGACCCCAAAGGACATGTAAAGCAAACTCCATCCATCATTTATTAGAATTTTATCGAAAACTTTTCCAATATGTTTATTCATTTGAAAGCTTCAATTCCCAGCTTTCTGAGGTAACGTAAGAAAATACTCAGAGAATTTTATTTTAAACACGACAAATAAGC